CACATGTCCCCAGCCAGGACTGACCCCACAGCCTCTTGTCCTGCCAGCTCCAGGTGGTGACACCTGCCATGCAGTGACGTCCTTAGCCCAGAATGACATCCTGGGGCTTGAGCTGGAAGCCGGAAGATAGCTTCTTACCAGAAACCCTGTGTGTCATGCTTGTGTTACATACTTAAATCGTAGGAAACTTTTATCACTGTTGGTTGATGGACAAAAAAACTGTTAATTTAAAAATACCCAGGAGATGTGGTACAGGCAGTTTCGCATGAGAATGTTAATAAGCAATTTTTGGAATGATACAAGTAGCAGCTCTTTCCTCATCCTGCACCTTGACTCGTTACTTAAAATTGCTTGTTAGAAACTTCTGTTTCTGCAATCAAGCTCTTGTAGTGATAATCTCTTTACAGAAATACTTAAACCCTGGACTCCTTGGTCACTCAGTTAACTAGGCCAGAGAGACACTGAACAAATTTCCCCCAAGAAGAGGAACTCCCTGCTGCTGGCAGTGGCTCAAGCATTTACTACAAGGGGAAAAGGGTGCACATCTGTGGTGTGCTGGGGGCAGCAAGGACTGTAGCCAAACCCAAATCTACGTACTCAGCCCTCCAACGTCTAAGCTGTGCCTCACTGTGATGACACAACACTCTCCAAGCACAGCAGTGGGGTGGTGAAACTTGCCACAGCAGCCCTTAAGAACTCTGGTCTCCAAGGCTCACTGTTTTGTCCAACAATTGTTGAATTAGCTCCAAATTTAATATAAGAAGTGATGTTGCATCAGTTTAGATGAATTGCTTTTAGTGTAAATGTTCATTTGTGCATTTAGCATTTACGCTGGTTTTGTTTTTGGTTTTTTTTAAGTGTGGGCCCAGGGTGAAAAATTGCTTTCTTTGGTTACTGAATGGAAAATCTCTTAATATCAAGGGGCTTCCAATACACATTGGTCAGGTTAACATTGTGTAATTCTAAACTAGGCTACTTAATGACTATTATATGCAAAGAATTTGTGTTTCCAAATCAATCCAAGCAAAAGTTTCTCCTTAGCAGCATCATAAAATCACTATGACATCCCTTAGAGAAGACGAGTGATAAATGTGCACATATACTTTATTAGTCATAAATCATTACCTCTCATTATGATTTTCTTACTTTTTTCATACTGACTGGGAAGAAAGGCAAGGTCTCTCATTGTCCAATCACCCTGTATAGAAATGACACTATGCTGAGACCATGGCCACAAAACTCTGAATTTGTTTTCAGTTTTGACTAAACCATGTCTATTGCCTTCAACAGTGACCAGCCCAAGAAAGAACCCTCAGATATTTAACTTCCAATTCTGCTTTACTGTGCCATTCTGACAACTCAATTAATTTTTTTTGTTATTGTTTTGTTTAGGTTTGGGGGGGTTTGTTTGCTTGTTGGTTTGTTTTGCATGTTTGGTTTGGGTTTTTTTGTTTGTTTGTTTGTCAGGGGTTTTTGTAGATAAGCCATTTTTTGTTTGCTCAAATGACATTTTGCCTCTCAGTCCTCTCCCAGATACCACCAGTGCTGATCATGTTTAAAGAATTCAACAAAGAAAAAGTCCTTTCACCTGAGTAGTAATCCATCACTTTCACAAGATCCTTACCTTTCCTTCACCTCCTTAATCCTCACTAAAAAGCCAAAAGGAAGATCATGGAGGTGAAATGGTTATGAATCTCCTCTGCTTGTCTCAGGCCCTGTGAGGTGTAGGAGCTGTGGTTTTATGGTGGTGAGATGACCACCACCACAGAGGATAGAGCTGTAATGAGGAAACATTCAAGCATGGCTGGGCATGGGCACTAAAATTCCAGAATTGACTTAGGAGGTCTCAGGCTCCCTGGACAGACCCACAAGATGCAGAATGACTGGCCTGCATTTTTTTGTGGAAAAGTCATCAGTGAAACCTTGCCTCCTGTGGGTTGCTTTTTATTTTTTTTTTTTCTTTTCTTTTGTATGCATATATTGCACAAATGTGTATTTCACAGTTTTCTCTACAAAAGCAAGAAAACCTGTGCAATGGAGAAAAACGGAGAGACTGAAACGAAAAAGAATTTTGTAAGCCTGCTGAAGAGATGTTGGTCTAATTCAAAAGTAGTAGATAAGGACCTGTGGAGAAGGAAAGTGGAAAGACCACTGTTTTTTTTTTTTTTTTTTTTTTTTTTTTTTTGTTTGGTTTTTTGTTTGTTTGTTTTTTAAAAATATCTAACATAAATGCAGGTTGAACAAAAGCACTTAGTAACATTTCTAAGCAATTGTTTCCAAGATGAATCTGTGGTGGAATGTGCTTTTCTGTTGTACTTTTCCTCCTTTTGAACCTTTGAAAATTTGTTTGGAGGCAATCACTGCTGTTTCCTTGGGAGTGAAGAGGAATAGGTAAACACATTTCTCAGGCTAACACAAGGTTAGGAAAAGAATGGGAATATGGTAGGATATTGGCTATAGCTCCATGGGTAAATGTCCATGGGGTGCAGAGACTGCTCTTGACTTCAATCATCTGCTCCAGAGCCATTCATACAACCGGATTTGAAGCCGGAGGAACAGGATGAGTTACATGCAACTTTACACCTCCCACTTTAAAATAATTAAATTTGCCCTCCATTTTCATAGTGGAACTCTTTTCATGCCATCTGAAGAAGGTCAGTCTGTTGGGGTATCTCAGTGCTGCTCTGGGCAGGCTGCACAGCACTTGTGGCTGCAAGAGGAGGAAAACAGAAAGGAGGCATGAGTGCAGAAGAGGGATTTAAATGTTTTCAAGCTGGATGGTTAAGGCAGATGTGTTGCACCTGGATATGAGAAAGTCCTCGAGGAGAAGCATATTGCAGGCAGCTTGCTGGGAGATTTCTAGGAATTGCGCAGAAATGTCAAAGACCATGCATAAGGAAATGGTATCAGGACTGTCTGTGGAGGAAAGAAGGGGTTTTCCATTCGAGTCACTGAGGTATTTCAGAATCAGTGGGAGATTAGTCACACAGTCTGTACATTTCAGGACAAAAAAGAGCAAATTCCCTGGGACAGAAACTCTTCCTCTGCTCCTCACCTCTGCTAAAGCATAAAGTGACCTTTATTTTTCCCTTCAGTAGAGAGAATTTCAGAGTTCCTAATTGAAGCAAAGCTTACTGCAGTATTTGGATTATATCACTGTATGTAATGAAAACTTTCTGTTTAAAATAATAACACCCAAGACTTTCATTAAAATAGACACCATATTGTTGGCAAAAGTTTATTTTATGCTCTCAAATTTTATTTTGAATGCTTAGGTTTGTGGTTTTGTTTACTTTCAGTGAAATGCATTTTGGTGTTTTGCTGGCTTACAGTAGCCAGTCAGACTGCTGCCCAGAGGCCAGAGGTCAGACATTTTGTAGTCAGGCTACAGAATGTTTGTGAAACAAATTATTTTCCTTTAAAGTCCATACCTTTGTTTACACTCTCCCTAGAAAGTAATTCTCTGTTAAAGGATGATGTGTCTTCAGCACTGTGGATATAAGAAAGGTATAATTGTGTAATGCTGCAGTTTGTGACCCTTCCCCTCTAAACCTGCTGTAGCACCGTGGGGTCTAGTTCTCATTCCACTGTGCCCATGGTCACCAAGAGTTTGCAATACCAATACCTAATGCAATGACTAAAGTGAAAGACAGAAACGTGAAAGCAGTGTAAATAATTGCCAGTAAGTTATTTTTTATGTGGAGAACTCAAAAGAGATATATCATCTGCTGCTTGCTGGAAGATGCTGGCTTCAAAAGCAAAGGGAAGTGCTGCTTTCCTTCACACAGAAAATTCTTTCCCCTAGGTGGAAGGGATAAACCACTATGTAGTAAATAAACTGCCTGCCTAATTCTGATCCCCACCTCTCCCAGATGCACAATGAAAAACTGATAGGAATTTTCTTTTCTGCTTATCTAGTCCCTGGCCTTTGATCTTCCAGTGTGATGAGAGAAGAATAATCCATGAGGAATAGAAAAAGATTAATGAGGTGCCATGGGGTCAAGTCAGTCTCCCCCTGCTAATTACTGGTACTTGTGTGGATTAGGAAAGAAATTAGAAGATGAGAAAGCCTTCCAGGAATGGCTGTTCCAGCAGGACAGTGGGTGAACTTGTTGGGAGAGGCTGACTCTGACCTTTAGGCATGATGTGTGGACCAGCAGAGTGCTTTTGAAGACAATGTCCTGTTCCTGCTTCCCAGGGTTTGTTTTGCATGGTGGAGCAATGTCAGGGTGTATGAACTGGGCTCTCTTTTTGGTGCTACAAGGATGGAAGTACATCAGGAGAGCTGGAGGCACAAGTAGGCATTTGGCCCCTGGGACCAGACCAGAGCTAGGCCTGTAAAGACAAGACATCCAGAAGGGTGCACAGGGCACCCAGTACAGATATGGCCAGTGTAAACTTCTCTCTTTAGCTATTATTCTTCCCTGCACTCAAAACCACGGCTGTCATAGGGACCTGGAGGCTGGAGGATGACTCAGAGCTGAGCCTGCCAGGAGAGCACTCTTGGAGGCTGCTGTCCCTCTGGGAGAGATGTGGCTGGGGCTAGAAAGAGCCTGGCATGTGGTTATGGTTTGACATCTTACCGAAACATTTTGCTGGTTGTTGCTGAATAAGCTCATGGCCTTGGTGATCCCATTTTCAGAGGACAATGGGTAATTAAAGATCTTTTCCTTGCCCTTGACTATTTTTTTCACTGTCTACCTATGGTCTAGGAACATAGAAATGAGATGTAGAAGGTCTTTAAATAGCCACTGATTTGACAGACAGGCTTCAATCTCTCCATGAACATGTTTGTGCTTTCTTTGCTAGAAAGGTGGGTCCTCCCACATTGGTGAAAACTGAATTAATGAACTTCTAACCTTCTGAACAACCACCAGCTGAGAGGGATGAGCTTAATCATTTAATATCTTTTCAAAGACTGAGTTCAGCAGAAGATAACAAACTTGAGAGAGAGGAGCTGTAAGAGATGCAGAAATTCCTAAATGTTCCACCAAGAGTGGAAGAACTTCACTAAGTATCCATGTAAGTATTTCTACATTGCAAAAGCTTCTGCATTTCTACTTCACAACACAGAAGTCAGATTTTCACAAAGGAACTAATTACCCATATTAAGTTGCTTTAAAAATTACACACAGTACCCAAAAGGGCCCCATTTATATGTGAAGAAAGATTCCTTTTTTTTTGTCTAAACATTTCTACACAACTCATGCTAGCATGGAAGGCACTAATGTTCATGGTACCTAGAAAATACTTTCAAGAGTTTGGATTATGTCCAATACACTTATGAGAGAATTATAACATCTCAAAAAAGAGCCATAAAACTTCTTGTGACAGCTTCACAGATGGTTAGAGAACCACAAAAACACTCAACTTTTCTGCTTGGATATGCTTTCACTGAAAATTCCCCCTGGAAGTTTTGTTGCTTAATTTTGGCAAGGAGGATTAATTTTACATCTTTCAGTTTGTCCTTGGAGAAAAGAAATGACGAAGAAGAAATATTTTCATTAAAGTTATTATTAATTATTAGTTCTCACACTTTATTGCACATTTCTGATCTCTTTCATAACACTTTATTGACTAATGGAAAATTTGTTTTGTAGAAAATAATTACTAGGATAAATAAAACCAAATCTGAAATCAAACATTTAAACTCATGTTCATGCCTAATTTTGATTTGAGAAGAAAGAGTAGTATAAATCAGCAAGTTTTATGACATATTTCACACAGCGATTAACAACAACAGATGGGAATCAGTTAAACATATCAAACCTTTCAATATTTTGGGTTATATATAAAGGAGAGAATTCTATGCTTATGGAGGAACCTGATATCCCATGTAGCAGCCAAGCCATGCATAATTCTGTAGCATCACAGGCATAAATGTTCTCAGCACATTTTTCTTTAGCTTTAAATTAAAAACTCAACCTACAAATAATTTCTACCAGGATCGCATCCTGTTTTTTCGTCATAGCTGTGCAGACATGGACAGAGAATACACAGGGAATTAATGTTACAGTAAATCCTTTGCTGGGCTTCTGTGGCTGCTTCCTCTCCACAGGAATTTGTTCCCTATTTTGTGTTCAGGGATATCCTTCCTTGATTTAGGCATAAAATAATTTGAACTACCAAATAAACAACACTTCCATTTGTTTCTGCTTTTTTCATAATAGTACGTTTTGTAAGTTGTATCTTTTGTTGTGCCATCCAGAAAATCATGTCAGTAAATAGTAGTCAGCAGGGAAAATACTGATGTTATGTTTGCTTGACACCAAAGAGAAAGCATAGTGAAGTCCAAGAGCTGCTTGAAAACTTCCTGGCAAGATATTATGATTTGGACTTTTGATACTGCTACGAACGTTGCATCATTTAGCAAATGGTAGAACTGCACACTGACAAAAATATTTATTATTCTCTCAGGAAAGCTGAGATCAAGAATTTATTGCTATTGCTGAAATAATGAGGCTTAGCATTTGAGAATCCTTCCTTAGTTAGAAATGAGCAAGTTTAGTGCCATGTTTATAGTTTTAAAAGTTTCCTATGAACTTGAAAGGTACATACAACTTGAGTATATACAAGAGTTCCTAAATAAATAACTCAAAATTAACCAGCCAAGTACACACTAAGAAATTCTTATTCAGAAACAGAAATTTTCTGCAAGTGAACAATTACTCTAAAACAGTGCAAATTAGTTATTTCTTCCCAGAAAGCCTGAAATTCCAAAAGAAGGTACAGCTAATTTTTTTTATTTTTTGCACCTATTGTCTCTATGGGATATTTTTTCTGCTTGGGAGCTCCTATTCAGGCAGTAATAAAAACAAAACAAAACAAAACAAAACAAAACACCCGTTATTTTCTGTCTTGAGAGAAGTAACTACAGGAGGTGCTGCTAGTCAGAGACTATACTGTTTAGAACCTATATTTCAACTTCTCTAGGCTGTTAGACCCTTCAAATGAAATTTTCTATTTAGGGCATAATATTTATGGTTATAATACTTTAAAATGAACATGAGGCTTGTTTAACAAAAGAGGAATACAGTCTTCCTGTGTTTAAAGAAGATGTCTGCTCCTTGGCAGCAGCTGCAACACTAGGTTTTCTCTCATGATCCCAACTTATGTCCTTCAGATTCAAAATCAAAAAAACTGGAATCAGAGAAATGGCAAAAGCCTGAGCTTGGCTTGAAGAGTTCGACATTCATGCACAGGAAATATTCTTCTCAAGCAGGATGTGAAGAAGGAGATGAACTCCCCAGAGAAAAATTATGATTCTCCTAAGAGTCCTTTAAGCTGTCAGAAATTCTGGGAAAGTATTAGCTTTTCCAAACATCAGAGTGATCAGGAACCTCCCCTTCTCCAAGAACTTCCCTACACTTCTTCTGACCAGCTCCCCACAGACACTCAGGGAGCTGGTGTGGTAATGGAGTCCACCCAGTTGGCTCAGCATCAGAGAAATCAGATAAATCAGTGCTTCTTGCTTCAGATTCCACAAGAGATCCACCAAGTTTCATAAGATATACATATATATTCTTAATGAGAAAAATGTATCTTTTTAGAATAACGAAAAGATGAAATTCCAACCTTTGCCCAACAAACTCAGAACCTGTTTGTGCACCAAATCCAATGTAAGCAATACTCTCCTATTTTGTAACATTATTGTACTGATGTCATTGGATGAAATTATATTAATTCAACTTTTACAATGAGAAAATGTTCAGCTACACTGGCAAACAGAAGTACTCCATAGCCTTGAGCAGAAACTGTTATATGACATTATCTTTGTATTCCTAGCATTAGCCTTGGGACAGGATTTCCTTAGAGGGGCCGTAAAAACCATTTTTAATTATTTAATAATATCAATGTTGAGAATTTAAACAATTGCCATCGTATTTTTTTAGCATTTGAGTTTTTTCTTTATTCTAAGAGATCTGAAAATGAAATTTCATCTGATTTTTCTCTACTTGAGTTTAATTTTACTTGAAATTCCTTGTAGTCCTTTGGCAAAACTTCACAATCACTTTTACCAGTTGAATATGTTAGTAGTCACGATACTTTAGTTTATGATTAGTCTACTTCAGTTCATTCATAAATATGTGAATTTAATTTTGGGCTCTAGCAACTGACTACTATTTACTGTCCTCGTTGAAGACTCTGATATTGCTGGATGGTAGTAATTGCCAAAATAAAAATAAGAGAGTTGCACATAATCAAATATTTTTCAACACATTATTAAATTGTTTCCCTTTGTTCATGTGCATAACTCTGCATATATTTTCCTGGCTTTGTTGGAATCAGTAAGCCATCTAGTTAAAAGTAAAGAAATCCTTTGGCAGTCCTCAAATATATGAAAGGGCAAACTGGGAATGTGAATTTTGTTTTGTGGTAACTATTGATAACTCTGTTGTTTACTTAAGTTTCCATCATAAATGAGGGGCAATTATTTGAATCAATATAATTTCCACTTATTATGAACATTGAAATTTTGGTTCAGCAGTTTGAAGCACATTAAGTGATGCTCAACAGCTTTGTGAAATATTATGTTGCTCCTAGATATGCTGTCCCAGTAGAAATTCTGCTTTAAAGATCTCATAGTGATAGAAGTGTGTGCCTGGGCGGGAAGATTAGGAGCTCTGCCTGGTTTGTTTCAGCACTTCCTGATCCACAGGGGCTGAAGGGCATTCCCGTGGATTCAGAGTGATGCCATCCTTTCCTTGTAGATGGTACTTTGTTGTAGCTGCCCTGATCCTGTGATGTGATCTTTTTTTAAAGGCTGTGATAATCTGATAATCTGTTTGTACTGGTAGGTTAAAACCTTTGACAAAACGTTTTAAAAATGTGTCAGGAGAGCCTCTGCTTCCCTCTCATGCATTGTTGCTGCCTAGCACAGGAGTTTGCAGCAAGCTAGGCATCTGCACATAAAGTGCCTATGTATATGAAGTAAAAGAGGCAAAAAAGCCCTGAAGAGAGCCCTCAAACGCTGTCTTTTGAAAGGCACTGAAATGCTCTGTCGTCTCATCATCCACCTTCTCCCTGCTGCAGCCTGCTGGAGGGCATGCCCTCACCATAATAATGAAACATATTCACAAAAAAAATTGACCTGCCCTGGTTTCCTGCCTGCTCCTCTGCCAGGAGCTTTCTGCTTGTGGGTGTGGAGGTCACTCACCCATGATCCTCAGGATGGGGTAGAACAAAGAGGATCATTCTCCCACTCCATGGGCTCTTTCTCAAAGACCAGGATGCAAAGCGATTTACATTCCTAAGCAGCAAGTCATGTTTCTTGAAACTAGGATGTGGGCTTCTAGATTGGGAGCAATATTAAGAAAAGGGCAAATCTGTGCAGCTTCTGAGAAAGGAAGCAGTTCACTGGGAACAGTGTGAGCGCAGACATTGTTCATTCCCAAGTGTCTTGCACAGTGGCTGGAAGCAGACATTGACAGGAGTGAGCACAACCTGGCTGTAAAAACCATCCTCTTTGACTACGGGTGCTCTGCCAGGAAAATTACTGTATTTTGGGGGTTAAATCTGCCCAGATAATATAATCAAGCAGCTGTGTTTTCTTCTAGACATTGTGATCCTTTGTTCAGTCTTTATTTTCAGTTGCCAGGTTCTCTGAAGATGGTCTATTTGGCTTGCAACCTATGTGCCTGTTGCCTACATGTGCCAAATTTGGGGCAGAAGACACATCTTATCAAACATGTATTTACAGACATATTACTTCTCCCCCAAAAGATTAAACACTTTGATATTTAAATATGAATGTGCTGAAGAGGTGCCATTTCTCATACATGTAGTTTCAGTTTCTGTTGTGAACAGAACCATCACCCTGCCAAAAGTTTCAGCTTCAGTATTATCTAATGAGTCAATCTCTTCCATTTCTCCTTCAAATGTTCTTCTAAGATGTTAAACCAGGTCAACATTTTAACTGATCACATTTTCAGGATTTCAGTAATTTCAAATGTAGCTGCATCCTAGAATATTCTGCCTCCCTGTTGTTGATCAGAATCCAATTCTTCACAGAGCAGCCTATGAAAGCTTAATCTGATCTCTCAGTGCTCCCACATCTCAAAAGGGTAGATGCCCTAATGGCTATGTAAGTTTCTGTGATTGTGGAAGCTTTACACAAGCTTTACAGGTTGGGGATTTTTAGCAGCAGTAATGAAACTACAATTCTGTTTTGTTTTTACATATGCTGATCTCACTGCCTAATTATTCTTGCTGCAAATACTGCAGATGTTGGTCAAGCCATTTTCTAAACACTGTTTGAGCTGCAAGTCGTTACCAAAGCTTAAATTGCTCAAGCACAGATTCTTCAACAAGTTTAAAACATAAAAAATGAGCAAGGTTAGTCTTGTTTAAGTGCAGGCATTGTTCTGCATTTCTTACAGTTGGTTTCTCTTCTCCAAATAGTGAGTTAAAAGAAATGGCAAACTGGGCCCTGACCTGACAGGAATATTTCCTGTTTGCCCACAAGCAGTGGATTTTACCCAACAATAAGTAGCCTGCTGGGAGAAAGAAATGTGATTTACTTCCAGGAGCATGCTATGATAGTTACATATTTACTGAAATGTACATATTTTGCTGCTGTGTTGCTTATGTCCTTATAAAAAGTTTAATTCTATTCTTTCCACAAAAAGGAACTCTTCCAATATGATGCAAAATGCTATAGAAGTATAATTTATTTATATAATTTCTTAGTCTGGAGCTCACTTACTGCCCAAGAAGCTGTGCTGGAAACCTGATGAATACCATGGCTTACCTCACGCAGCCCAGCTAATGTGCAACATGAGAGGCTCTAAAAAACGCAAACCTGGTTGTAAGTCTTTGGGTTAATTCAAGCTTTACTGATTCAACAGCTGCTTGATCTCAGTGTGCAATGACTTCTGTTTCAGTATCCCTACAAACAGCTTGCATACTGTGTTTTATGCCCCTTAGGAGATGAAGAAAAAAAGCCACCAGACATATCTTAAAACCTAGGACTAATAGATGAAACATGTATTACAAGGTTCACAGAGGTCTGCCTTTTCCAGATTTGAGCCTGGGAGCTGATTTGTGTAGATGTTGGGTTAATAACATGTTCTCCATGTGTTTTTTTCAGGAAGGAATGATAGGAGGCTACTAGAGGAAAAGCAGGATTATAAAAAAGTAAGGTAAGAAAATTAATTCTTACACTGAAAAATCAAGAAAATGTATATTTTAAAAATCTAATGTAATTTCATGACAGCATAGCTGTTTCTTTGAGTAACACAATCCGATCCTTTCTAAAGTTGGTATGTATGGTCATCAGGAAAGTTTTGTCTCTTGTAAAGAAGGAGCCATGCAAGGGGCCAATGAGAAAGAAACCAATATCTGTGCTGCAGCCAACAAGGAAAAGAGGAAATCTGTTCTAACTCATCTCTGCAGCTCCTGTACCAGCTGCACTGTGCCAGTGCTGACAGTGAAACCTGCAAGGTATACCTCTCACAACCTGCAAGGTATACCTCTCACTGTGCCTGTGTATTTGCTGTGTGTCTGATTCCTCTATGTTTGTTCTAGTATTTTGTATGTACATTTCAGATATCAAAGGCACTGTGTATCCTGGTAAGGTATTAGGTGTGCAGGCTCTCTATATTATCATCTGATTTCATCTCTCCCAACAAAATATGCATTATTAGTTACTTCTTGTGACACAGTAATGATTTCTGTGTCTTGGACACTGCTTAGTCTGTCAATAAACTCAAGGTCAGCAACAGTGGGATGTTAGCTCACAGTTATGTAGGACACATGCTTGGTATATCAGTGTTTTGAATTTATAAAAGTCATACTTAAACCCAGCTAGTTGAACAAATTAAATCCAGAAACTTAGTCCAAATATATGCTAATGATAACTGACTTCTCTCCACAGTGTAATGTCTGTTGCAGATTTCAGTTTATACCATTGTTGTTATCAAAACCACCTAAAAATATTAGATTTAAAGTCTGGAACTAATTAAGATATAGGTCAAGAGCTGATATTTCATATCTTCATTACTCTTGCTCTTTGAACTTACATCATAACTGAAGCTTTTTGTATAAAGCCCTTTACTACTTCATGCATCTGTTAAAAGATTTAGAATGGAAAAATCCAAGGTGTGTCTTGTGTGGAAAAGCCCAATAATAAATTCCTGCTGCTTCAGCACATTGTTTTAACAAATATATTGAGTGGAAAGACTGGCTGAAGATTTAACATAGTGCTTAAATTCTTACCACCATTATTTTCTGAACTTTCAAATAAAAGCTGTGCAATATGTATGTATGGATATTGAAATATCTGTTGTTGGTTCAGGTGTTCAAATTAAGCTTTCCCTTCAGTCAAAGCTTGGCACTTAATCCCAATTTACAAACGTGAACTAAAAGAGATTTTTCTCTCCTTTTAATAGAAGTGTGTGTATATACATGCATAGTCACATCACAAAACACTTTACATAATGCAAATATAACTTATTTTACTTTGCTCTAGGGCAATTTCCATTTTGTAGCAAGAGTTATTTTATACAGTTTTGGTGAAAACTGTTACATAGCCCAAATCCTGAAATTATGTGTGTATTCCCAGCACAAAACTTGTGACTTTCACAGCAATTATTATTTTTCTTTAAGAACTTCCCTTACATATAAAAGAATTTCAAATAAAGATGTATAAGGTAGGTCCCAACAAGGTGACCACAGGGCCTAGAAAGGAGAAGAGAGTGTTAGACTGCAAGAAAAGGGTGTTTTTGAAGAATTTCTTGTATGCTGTGAGCACTGATCCAGTTCAAGGTCTGGTTCTTGATGTGATAGTGCCATTGCCACTTCTGGGGTGTGGCTTTGCAGTTTGTTGCTTCCATAGGTAAGTAATTCCCATTAAAAAAAATAGAGTCTGTTTTTTCGCAAATATGAAATTTAAACTTTGAGGTCAGAATGGCTTGTCTTAACAGTCTCTAACTTGAAGCTTGGAAGGAAACTGTTTTTCTGTCCCCTTTTATTTTTCGATGTTTCAACTTATTACTTTTCTACAGTGGGATGAAAACAAGACCATTTGGAGCCTTTTTGAGAGAAAGAAGAAAACACCCTGTTTCATACCTGTTCCATGCGGCAGCTTATGAGGCCTCTTGCTTGTAGGATGCTTCTTCTCCTTTGGACATCGCCAAATCTGGAGAAGATCAACTACATTTTAAAGAGAGGAAATGGATGTTTGCTCCACAATTTTCCCCAGGAAAAACGCAATTTCTTACCCTTTGTGTCTGCTGGACAGAAGGTTCCAAACTCCAATAATGGTTCTTTGGGTATTTTTTATCTTGTCCCATAACCACATGTGAGCATGTCCCATTTAGAAATAACTGGCCTCTGCTTTCAGCAGGTCTTTAGAGATGCTGTCTGTATGGGGAAAATATGTAATGTTTATAATATGAATTTAATATTTCGTATTCAACTGACACCAGCTCTCAATCTACTGACATCAGCCTGCTCAATATATCGGGACCTTCTCACAAGACTGACATACTGAAAATGGTCTCTTTTTTTCCTGAAAATTGTTATTTGAATAATTTGGCCCATTTCATTATTTGAATAATTTGTCCTATTTCAGTTTTGTCCCTTAAAAAATGAACAAAAATGATAATTCTTCTTAGCCACAGAGAGGTTATGATGGAGGTAGTTCTGGTTTCCAAAGTGAACAGGAGAGGCAAATCCTAAATGTTGAAGTCAAGCAGATTAGACAAAACGCAGCTTGGCTGAACAGTGTCCTTCTCTTTGAATTAAGGTGAAAAAGGAATGTTTATGGACAGGGAAACATCACAGAGAAGAACACAGAAGATGCTTGCTGCTGTAGGGAGAAAATTCGTGCAGCCAAAGCTTAACTTGAAGTGAAGTTGACCAGAACAGTAGGAGAAAATAAAAGATTTCTTCAAATATATGGATAGCAAAAGGCTGTGATGAAAATATATCAGCCCATTACAGGATGAGGATGGTCACCTCATCAAGAGAGACACCTTAGCTATCTCAGATGGCAAAAAGTAGCGGGATGGCTTCTGTGACAGTGTAGGAAACAAAAGTTTTAATAAAAGGCAAAATAACAAAGCTCTTTACAGAGAAAAACCGAGCTAAGGCAAGAGGTTCTTGCTCTTGCTAAAACACTTCACAAAAGTGATTTACTTCTTTTGTTCTCTTCTTTTTCTAGTGAATTGCTCAGGTGGGACATTTTATCTTCTGTCCAGTTGGCTATCCTTAAGTTTGAGGTGAAGTCCCACTCAGTATCTTATGAGGTGTCTTTTAACCAAATTGAAGAGAGAAACTTCTGGGTTTTTTTTCCTTTTTAAGGAGACAAAGGTCACTCCATCAACAAGGGGCACATTCCTACAGGACACACATAAGGCAGGTGTGTTTACTGCCATCTTTGCCTCCATCTTCCCCATGGATGACGGACCAAGAGAGTCTTGGCAGCCTGTGAGAATGATCAACTCTCCTTTGACTCTGAACACATGTGGGATCTGCTGCTCCATCTGGATCCCTACAAATTTGTTGAGGGATTCATCAGAGAATGCACAGCAAGCTGTCTGGTGTCATTGCAAAGCCTCTCTGGATATTTTTTGAGTGGTCTTGGGAATTCAGAGAGGTCCTGATTTTCAAGAATGGTGATAAGGAGGAGTCTGGAAACTACAGGCCTGTCAGCCTCACTGCCTGATAAAATCATAAAAAAAGATTATTCTGGGAAGTACTGAAAAACACCCGGAGGACAATGCAGTCATTGATCACAGCCAGTGAGACTTCATAAGTAGAAAGCTGTGCTTATCAAACCTGATTTCCTTCTATGATAGGGTAACCCACTGAATTGGTCTAGGAAATCCATTTAATGTCATCTTTTTGTACTTCAGCAAACCTTTTGATTTAGAGGATCCTTCTGGACAAAATGTCCAGCTCACAGCTGGATAAACACATCCTGTGATGGCTGAGCACCTGGCTCATAGGTGGGACACAAAGGGTTATATTGACTGGAGTGAAATCAGGCTGCTGACCTGTCACTAGTAGGGTTCCACGACGTACTTGTGAATTATTTCTAACTCAGCATATTCTATGATTCTATATATAAAATTAAATTATCCCAGTTCTCAGGAAGAGTTTGTTAGGTTTGGCCTGGGAAAACAGTTATTCTCTTCAGACATAAAGGTAAGTTTTGCAAAATTAGGTAAAGTAGAATGGAGTGAACTTTTCTATATAATAAGATGAAAAGAAAATGTTGGCAAAATGTGTATTGTAAGGTGACTGTCACTGCTCTGAAATAAGTCAAGCCATTATGGCTGAGCACACAAAGGTTGTGTACTCCCACTGCCTCTTGTTACCCTCACAAGGAGCTGTGAAGATGAGATGAGACTTTCTTTAAAGGTTTCTGGGATTTCATTGCAAAGAAGCGAGAGATGAATGTTCAAAGAATTCCTGTGCAGAGAGACTCTTCATGGGCTGGGCAGGACAGAAGGGCTGTTTGAAGGCTGGCTACAGCCCTACCATATCCTGTGGGAGGGATCTCAGTGCTAGCAGTGGGAGTAATATCTCCTCTGCTTCCTCCTAAATCCAGGCAGGAAGGACATTTTGAGGTATAGGATTAACTATACCACTTCATCTGACAGGAGCTGAGCGTGAGCACCATGAAGACTGCATGTCAGTGAAATGTAAATTTTAAGGAATTTAGAGATTTTAGAGGAGATAAGATTTTAGTTTGAAATAAGCCTTACTAGAGTTAATTAAAATAATAATAATAAATGAGTAGGCCTAGATGAATTAAGGAGTTAGTAGTTAACTAATAATTGATTGCTTGTCAGCACAATGTTTAGTTAGCTGGGTTTATAATGAAGAATATAGAAACTGACAAATAGCTTTTAGGGACATAAGACAATTGTGGGCCTCCTTTGTTCTGAAACCAATTGAAGACAAGGAATGGGAGTTCTGCCAAGAGTTCATTTGTCATATTTGCATTGAAAAGGTAGAAAGGTCAGAACGAGGAAGACTTCATTTACTTCCTTATTTTGGGACCCCTCCCCATGAAAGGGACCACTGACCCATTTCAAGGAACAATCTACACCAGCTTAATAGCTTTTGGAGTAATTAGCATATGAAGCGGGGAATAGGATGTACCAAAATTATGAATATGTATTTGTATTTTGGATATTCAATACTTGTATGGATAAAAAGACTCTGTAATCACCTAGAAGGTGCGGTGTGTATTTGGGAGCTATCCCACACGCTGCCCGGTGTCGAATAAACATACACTTTCTAACTTTAAACTGTTAGAGAGTTTTTGTCCATCACAGTTGGATATCGGTACTAGATCAATATCCATATTTTTTCAATAAATCATCAGCACCCTGGGGACCTATGAAAAGGAGGGGCAGAGAAGGCAAAGTGAAGCAGAGAGGCACTGTTGGTAAAGTAACAACTTTTATTAGCATCAAAATTTGTCTACATCAAATCCTAAATGTGTCTGTAACTCTCATTATCTAACCTGGGCCCTTTTCCAGGTCTCTCTGTTCTTCTGCCTGCTCCTTTGGTCTTGTTCCACTGAGCTTGCTGTTCCATAGTCTGGAATCTTTGGACCATAAGCATAGCCTTGTGCAGTATCTCTTGGGCTGTGTCCTGCAGGTCTGTGGCATTGGCTGTTGGTTCTTGCTTCTGCCTCTCTCCTTTGCCGCAGTTTGAGGGCACGGCTCAGCCATCTCTCATAAGCTGGGGTGTTGATGACAGTAGAGGCAAGAAGGCTGTAGGCACATCCTGCAGGTCGTGCAATTGCTTCTTCTGGGCTTTTTTTCCAGTCCTGCTGCTCCTTCACTTCTTGGAAAGGTCTCTGGACCAAATGATGGGCCTTCTTTACAGTCTCAGCTCTGATGTGCTTGGCCATGTCCAGCAGAGGTGGGTTATTGACTAGGGGACAGTGTGGGGCATGTGCTGGGCTCTCTGGCCCATCTGCTCTGGCTCTTGCTGTTGTCACCTTGTCCCCACTTTCTTCCTCCTCCCGCTTTTCTTTTAGCTGCTGGATCATAAGCCAGGCCCTCTTAACAATATCAGTCCTGATGTAGTCAGCCATGTCCAGCAGAGGTGGGGTATCGACTGTAGGGCTGTGTATGGCATGTGGTGGACTTTCTGGCCCCTCTGCTCTGGCTGTTGCTGCTGTTGCCTCATCCATGCTTCTTTCTTGCTTCCACTCATCTTCTAGCTCCTGTACAGGTTCCTGGATCATAAGCCAGGCCCTCTTAATGATCTCAGTTCTGATGTAATCAGCCGAGTCCAGCAGTAGTGCAGCATCAGTTGTGGGGCTCTGCAGGCCAGCTTCCAGATTCTCTGTTCCTTCTGCTTTGACTTTGTCTTCTGTCACCTTGTTCTTGCTTTGTTCCTGGCCCCACATTTCTCTTTGTGGCTCATCAAGTCCTTGGACTATACGCACAGCCTTGTCCAGGCCCTCAGCCTCCATGGACTGGGCTATGTCCACCTGAGCTGGGCCATTGGCTATGGGACCATGTGGAGCAGGTGCCTGGTTCTCTGCCCCTGCTGCTCTTGCAGCCTCTACAGGGGAAGAAGAAGCTGGTGGCTCTGCCTCCTCATGTTTGAGAGGTGTATGGTGCTCCTCTTCCTCAGGAGCTACAAGCAGGGCAGAATTAGCCAGCTGGGAATCTGCTGGGCCAGGAATTGCTCTCAGCAGTTTGTCAACTGTGTCTCCTGAAGCCTCTCTGCCCACATTGCTGGGGAAGTTGGGACTCTCCCTGGGATTAGAGTTGTCCTCCAGACCCAAGGAACTGACCCGGTGGTGGACAGAAGGTGACCCAACAGCACCTGTTCCTTGAGACATCTCTGTGCTTATTGTATCTTGCCATTCCTCCTCCTCTGACACCTCAGCATCAATGGCATCTTCCCATTCTTCTTCCTCTGAGACCTCTGTGTCTATGGCGTCTTCCCATTCCTCTTCCTTGGACAGCTCTGTGTTGGTGGCATTTTCATGCTCCCGTTCCCTGATCAAGGCCACTGGTTTGATGATTGGAGCTTGGGCTTCTAGCTGCTCCTTCATTACCTACATATTCAAGATACCCTCCATGAACTTCCCTGTCACCTGTGGTGATGGGCAGTCAGACAACCAGGAGAGGCTTGTGCCCCTGTCCCATCCTGTCTCAGACCATCCCATTCTATTCTTGGCACTCACCTGCACAGATGTGTCATTGAGTCCCTCAGAGCACCTCAGAGAGAAACCCTGCCCTTGGTTTTCTGGCTGTTGTACCTCCCTGTCCTCCAGGCCATCCTGCTGCTGTGGCTGGGTGGCTTTCCAGAGGGGGGGCTGTCTACATGCACTTCTGGCTGGGCAACTCCCATCCAGGTCCTCGGGAGGGCTCCTCTTAAAGGACACGATGACCTCCCTCACAAAAGGCCCCTGCTTCTTGTGCCCCCACAGCCATGTAGCGCTTTGGTAGCACTCAATGCACACGGATAGCCCTGGTGGCTCCTGCTGTGTTGCTTGTTGCTGGTGGCCTGTCCCTGCACTTGCATCATTGCTCAGGGAAGCTGATACAGCAAAGCCACATGGCTGTGCCGGCCATGCTCCCAGCTGCTCCTCCTTCTCCATGATTGTCTTTAGCATCCTCTGCTGCAGATGTGTCAGCATTGCCCTGGCAGCTGCTGCTCCCTGAGGGAGGTGCTCTTCTAGAGCACTGCCTCACAAACAGCCACTGTCACACCAGACCACTGTCACAAAGGGCAACAAAGGGCACCACCCTTGAGGGAAGGGCACATTCCTGTGATGCTGGCTGGGTCCTGTGAACTGCCACTGTCTGGGTCATGGCACAAGGGAAGGCAAAGAGGGAAGCCAGTTGGTTGCTTTCCCTTCCTGAGAGCCCAAATTGGGTTGTATCCCCTAGAGAGTCGGAAAAGGTCAAACCTTTGCCATTGGGCACTCTTGGCAGGTATGGGCAGGTCAGATGATCTGAGATGGAAAAGTTAGTTCAGAGACCATAGCTTTTAGTATTTAAAACCTTGCATGATGATTAGAGAAAGAGATAAAGTTGGGAACTGAGCCTTTGAGGAGTCCTAGCATGCCTTGGTTGGACTGGATATTGCATTGGGCTGAACCAGGCACTGTGTGATGCTGACCAGAGAAGTGCAGTATCCCATAAAGCAGTTTTTTTGTAGGCCTCTGTGGCTCTGGCTGGCTACAAGTTTCCCATTCCTTTTGAAATCAGTTCAATTTACTGATATTTACATGCATTCAAAGAGATTTTGTCTCCTGATGTCATAAACATTGCCAGTCTTACATTTCCCATAGCCACAAACTTCTGTGCCATCACTGAACAGGAAAAATAGCTGTAAGTTTCTCCTTGTTAGCAAATCTCTGGCTAGAGGGAGTGCAGGTGATTACATGAGATCACACGAAGTAACATCTCAATGGCAACCAGAGTACCAAGTGCAGTGACTGCCTTGTACAGGATGACTTGACTGGATGCTCCTAAAATGACACAGACAGCTGGTGAGATTTGCAAGCTAATAGTGTCTGCCATGGAAAAAATACAGAGATGTGCACAACAGTATGGGTTCCTGAGGAATGTGTTTTGCCCAGCTCCTACTTTTTCCTTGTCTTGGCTTGAGGGACACAAAGAGTCTCAGATGATGCCTTTTCATCCTGAGGAATGCTGGTTACATACCATAGTCATCTGATTCAGCCTTCTGGAGTTGTGCCTTGCATGCCAAAATGTTGGATGGCTTCATTTCACTTCAGGTTCATAGAACCAAAATGTGTCATCAGGCCATCCTTGCCAGTTCTGTTATAATTTGCATTTTTCATGGAGGCTTCTTCTGACATTTGGATACTCCAGGAGACAAAAGTGGCAGCTGTGATACCATTCCTCTTACATTCTCTTCAGTTGTTCCATATTGGCAGTAAGCCTTACAACCTTAAGTCAGGAAGGTTCAGAAAACACTCAGCACATCATAAAAATGCAAGGATTTATGAAGTTATGTTTTTAAAGCCTTTCTTTACCTTTCTTTACCTTTCTTTACCTTTCTTTACCTTTCTTACTCCAAGATCTCTATTTACAAAACTCTGGCCCAATTTTCATTGCACACTCCCGTGTGTGTGTTAATGTAATCACACAAATGTCGAAGAAGTCAGAAGCTGCCATTTCAAGTTTTCTGTTCCTAATCTCAGCCTGAAGCAGAAGTGGCAATGCAATTTTAATCCACCGAACTCTCATTTTTAAAGGCTTCTGCTTTTTATAATAGGAAGATGATGGTCACGTCACCAAGAGGAACACAGACAAGGCAGGTGTGTTTACTGCAGTCTTTCCATCTTACCCATGGATGACAGACCAAGAGGGTCTCAGTGGCCTGAGCTGCAGGACCATGACTGCAAGAATGATCAACACCTCTTTGACTCTGAACACATGTGGGATCTGCTGCTCCATCTGGATCCCTACAAATCTTGAGGGATTGATCAGAAAATGCCCAGAAAGCTGTCAGTCGTAGTGCACTGCCTGGTAAAAGTACAGAAGAGTTTTCTGGAAGGTATTGAAAAACACCTGGAGGACAATGCAGTCATTGTCAGCACCAACAGGGCTCTGTGTGAGTAACATCCTGCTTGTCTAACCGTGTTTCCTTCTTCAATAGGGTAACCCATCTTGTTGTCCCAGTAAAACCACAAAATGTCATCTTCTTGGACTTCAGCAAAGCTGACTGCTGGCAAAATGTGTATTGTAAGGTGAC